AAAAAAAGGCCGGGGGGGGGGGGTTGCCCACCAAAGTTAGCTACTTAATGTCTATAAAGTAAAATAAGCATCTTAGTCCTTTTAAAAATACACAGTTAATAGAGGAGGAAATAGATGGCTAAATAATAGATGGCTGAAAGTGAGGAAATGTGTCCTACCCTTATCATTAGTTAATGCTTGATTGCAGCTGTTGGATTAGCTTAGATGATTGTTTCTTTCCTTAAAACATCCTAAATAGCTCTCTAGTTTTACAAATCTTCTAATACAATGGCATAAATGAGGAAAAGATAAGGAGATGTAAATGTGCTCTTCCATCTCCTGAAATCTCTTGACAAACATTATTTAATGCTTTTAGATTACAATATGAATAAATCTAAAACTTATTCCTACATTTTTACTGTATTGAGTCCTGTTAAGGACAGCTACAAGATAAGGCAAAACACAGAAGGAAATTTGTTTTCTGGAGTCAAAAGAAAAAATAAAAGCACTTTATTATTTTCTATTTTTTTTAATCACATTTTGTTGCTTGTAGGTCTAAAGTAACAGGTATTTTCCAGCAGTGGTTTTCCCTTATTCTGCTCTTAAATGGCATTCTTGGTGAGGTGTGGGCAAGAATGGTTAGTTTGTATAAGAAGAAGAGTTTGTGCTTTTGTGGAAGCCGGTATAGTTAGATGACTGTAGCAGGGGTGAGCTGGATTCTGCTGACAACAGTGATAAGGGTACTTTTGAAATCTGCAGAGGACAGAAGTAGGAATCAAGTGCCCCAAAAGCTGGTTCCTATCATGGTGTTTTGAAAGCTCTTGAGCAGGACAACTGTGAGCTGGAAATTAAGAGGATTCTAGGGAACAGTAAAGATTGGGCTCTGGGTTGGTCAAGAATGAAGGAGAGCTGTACTTGAGGGTTTTGGTAAAGGTGAGTTCTGGGGCTGGAGGAAGAGGCAGCTTTCAGACAGGAGCAGCAGGGCATATGAGGTCTGCATACAGAGGCCTGAGTGTTTGCAGACTAGAGGAATGCAAGACAAGGGAGGCTGTGATGCAAGACTTAAAAATTGCTGTGCAGGAACCCCTTTTTAAACTGCTGCCCCTCCCCTATTCTTTATCTATTTTTTTGCTGTTGAAATAAGCAGCCTAACGTCTTTTGCTGTATACCAGAATGACCTACTATCCCAGGTACGGTATCAGATATACTGTCCCAGATAAGCGTGCCATGCTATAGCTCATGTTACCTGGTAATAATACAGTATTTTGTCCTCCTTGAATACACGCAAGCAATCTGCTAACTGCTGTTGCAGTTTTAGCTATCTTCACTGCGAGTCCTAACACTTTTAGAGTAGAGATTCTCAAGAGCTGCACAGTCATTATATGGGACTGCCTTATCCTCAAAAATTTCTCTAGGCTTCGAGCCTTGGTTGCAGCTAAGATACTAAATTTAAGGCATCTTCCTAGCTGCCCTGGACTTCCTCTGAAGCCGGTGGAAAAAGGAAAGCAACCCTTGAGGGCAAAAAAAGCTTTTGAGGCAATCAATTCCTAAGATCTTGTTTCTCTGGAAAAGCAAATGGAAAGAGAATTGACATACCAATTTCATCTTTCCTATTAGTCTCATCCCCTTCCACAGTACCAAACTCTAGAGTCACCTCCTTGATGTTAATGCGTGTATTTGTTTTGTGATCCCGGAAGTGAACTGTCAAGCCATCTCATGTGCTCATGCTTGTCTTGCCCTTCTTAGTCATCAGCTGAGATATATGATCATCTAAGACAGAACATAAAAGAAAATTTTCTTATATCAAAGTGATAGAGCTGTGGTGTTTTTTGAAGTGGTGGTCAAGAATTTTGTTTCTAAGCTTACACATAGAGTGGATGTCAATCAAAAGCCAGAATTTACCAATGTCACACATGGTGTGTGTTTTGTAGCATTGTTGACAAGCATGGAAGTTCCTAAAGCAACAGATAATGGCATTTGAGAACAACCGCCCCATGTAACTTTTTTGTTACTACATTGTTATGCTTCTGGATCCCACTTATAGCAAGATCATAATTTTTACCATGCATTGACACTTTTATCCTAGAAGATAACTTCAAATTTGTATCTTAGAAATTAAAACTAATAATTTAATTATCAGGAAAATTTCAAAGTATTAATCAAATAGATGTAAAATTGTTTTTCACATTACATATGTAACACTTCTTTTATTTTGCTATAGTCCTGTGAATCAATTTTTCTCTTCTTATAAATGAAAAATTATTTAACTATCGGATAATGTCCAAACTCATCTATCAAAACTCAGCTGCTTAGCAGTATCATGGAATACTGGGCTTCTTTTGCTAAGAAATTATTGCTTTATAAATTGTTGATTGTATTTAATAATAGGAACCAGTATGTGTGTAATGAAATACTAGGTTGTTGAGCATTACTTAACAAAGGAGACAGTTATTAGGAGCCAGATAAATTAATTTTTAAGTAGTTCATAAAATTATCTGTTTATAATTTAATTCTATTGTTTCTATCTTTTTTTAATGTGGCTCATATTTTAATGAAGAAACCTCAAACATCTCTTTCACAAACTGTTTCTGAATTCAGAATGCTGTTTTGCCTCCTGATGACAAGCAGAAGGTCCAGAGGGGACTCATCTAATCGCTTTGACAATACTAAATTAACAATAGCAGACAGATTTACTAAAAGATATGCAAAAAATTAGAATGACACAAAGCAGGTGACAGTTATCATCTTGCTTCCTATAGAGCGAAGGAGATTTAGTTACATCCAATGACTAAGTACAGATAGGGAGGCTCTACACCACTTCACCTAATCTATTATATTTGTCTTCATACCTATGGGACCAAAAAAATGCTGCAGCAGTTATTGTTTTCATCATCCAAAACCAAATTAGACCCACTATCAGACAGCTATCTTAATCTGTAATCTTTATCTGACTGTAATGACTTAATTAACCTCTGATCATATGCCTGCACCAATCTCATATATTTTTGTCTTGATTTTAGCAGTTACAGCACAGTTTCTACATAGTTTACCTCTGTTGTGAGGTTATAGAGTTATTCCATAGCAGGTGCTGAATAAAGACGGGAATAAAAAATGTCTTTCTCCAGAGAAATTTCTGAATAATTAAAAAAAAAAAAAACCAGCCTGCCTCACACCAAGATGAAAACAAAGCATGTCCTTTTTTGCTGAAGAAGGCAGCAGTCTGCCTTAGAGGAGCAGATAGCCCAGCCATTGGCAGATGCTCTGAGGAACAAGGCTATGTCTGTGCTGACCCTGCAGGGAGATGGAGGTCAACACTAGTTGGGGTTAGAACTAGATCTTTAGGGTCCCTTCCAACGCAAACCATTCTATGATTCTATTTGCTTACCTAGTCAGAGCCATGATAAAAGATCTGAGATTCCTCCTCCAGTGCTCCTCAGGGATAGCATCCAGCCCGTTCTCAGGCTGTGTCCACTTAGTGATGAAGGCTGAGTCCTTCCTCAAGCACCAGCCTATGGCCACACTCAGTGTTTAATAAATATGGCCAAAGAAACAAGGTCCTGGTTTGTGCCTCATTTTGCACCAGGAGTTGAACCTGTGGCTTTCTCCCTCATGAGTGGTTTGGTCCTGCCAGAAAGGAAACTTCTCCCTTCACAGGGAAATTCCTGACAGCACAGGCATGTGTTACAGCCACTACTGGACTGAGTAACTCTGCCAGCTCAGCTTGAAATATCTGTATTGCCAAAACTGACAGACGTTCAACTGGCACAAATCTGTGGTTCCCAGAAACTGTGTTTTTGTTGGAGCTACCTTTAAGGAATAAATATAAAACCTGCCTGTTTACTACACAAAACCAAACATTTTCTGAAGCATTAATTAATTTATGCACTGATGTCTAGGGATCAGGGTCACATAACTTCTAAAATCTGATTTTCAGGGCATCTGAGAACCCTGATAAACCTCATTTGTGGCTTTCTGTCGTGTTTTGTTTTGTTTTAATTTTGTAGTCAAATAAAAATTCTGTTCTATTCTTAGGCTTATTTATTTTCCTGGAATGACAGATAATCATTTTTTTTTAACATAAAACATGAAGACTAACATATCCTTGTAGGGAATGCATGCTGAAGAGAGCTCAATGTGGTGCAAAGGTCCCAGTCCTCCAAACTGGGAGATATGTTGTAAGGAAAGCATATCTAGAGCTTCATGCCATTGCTCTGAGTACCTTATTAATCTATTTTTTTTTTTTAGCTGAACATGGGATATTTTGATCTTTTGTAAGAACATATCAATCCTTTGAAGAAAAGAGGTCTCTTGATGCCAAACACCCTGATGAAAACCAGATGACAAGTAGCAGACTTTATCTATGAAGAAAGATTTTTAGTTACTTTGGTTTGTGCTTTAGCTCTGGTTCATGTTCCCATTGACCTAAACATTCTCTTTTAGTAAAGTTCGACGTTAATAGCCAGGAGGATTGATGGTGTTTACATACAGCAAAGACTTAAAATTTCATATCATCTAGGTAGCAGAACTGCAGACAGATTCTCTGCTTGTGCTCAGGTGTTTGACTACAACAGATCTATGATGCTTTAGAGAGAGACAGAGATTTGGACCCTGGGGAGTGGATTTGTGAGTCTCATACAAATTACTGTTTTTAGTGTCCTAATTGATTCCATCTGTAGTTTTACACCCTTTCCTTTTTTCTTCCTCTTTCCTTTGTAGTCAGAGCTACCTTCAAACTGCAAGTGACGTGCCTGGGGGTCACAACCTGGATCCCTCTGCAAACTACAATTCCCCAAAGTTTCGCTCAAGGAATCAGAGCTATATGAGAGCAGTGAGCACGCTCAGTCAGGCCAGCTGTGTTAGTCAGGTGGGAAATTCTTGTTATACCTTTTCTTATAGGTTAATCACAGATGCAAGAGGTGTTACTAGTGGATTGTTTTAGATTTTTTTTTTTCTAATTAATACCAAACCCAGGATATTAATTGACAAAGTAATTAAATTCTAAGGAATGTAACCCTTGTTCAAAATTTCAAGAAAAATACTGAATGCTAGAAGCAAAGGGACACTGTCATACATATTTTCCATTTATTTTTCATTAAAAAAAAAAAATACTGGTGTTTTTATTTTCAGTCTACATGTGTTAAGAAGGTTCAGACTGAGCATAAGGGGCACACTCCTACAATACTCATCCTCTGAAAATATCTACTCTGATTTCAGTAAGTGTGAGTTGCCAGATTAAGATATAGATTAAAATAATTATACTCCAAAGGAGCACTGATTCATCTCTAAACTCAATCCCTCGCTTTCCTTGGGTGAAAGAATAAGTCCCATCAATTATTCTATGTGTGGGGACTTCTGAAAAGACACATTTTTTCACCCTGCTGTTATGCTTGTTAGTTAGTACTAATTCATGTTGAAGTGAGTTCTGAATCAGGCCTGAAGTGGAAGCGTCCTGATGAAGTATGTACATGCTCTGTTTAGCAGAGGACTTCACATAACAATCCAGTGTTTCTGATGTTCATTGGTCCTCACTTTTCTCCCCTGTGCTGCTTCATGACAGGTGGGCCCTGCCCTCTTCTCAGACATGTGTTACTTTATTTTCCTGTGACCATTTAGTAAGGCACCTAAGGGTATAGTAGCTAATTATGCACAATGGTTGTGTAAAAAAAAATATCTTTTTAACAGAATTTTATATTCATTCAATTTGTATTGGATGGCTCTTCAGGCCTGGATTCAGCTCATATAATTTGAGGCTTTTAACTGAGGGAACAACTAAAGTTTCCTTTGTAGTTAATGGAGCAAAAGAGTTTCTTGCAGGAGAATGCACATCTCAAGCAGGCTGAGAGCCCTCTGGAAATGCTTGTCAGTCTTCACTGACTGCAGATGGTTGGGAGAGACTAGTCACCTAACTAATGCACTTCAGTCAAATTCCTTAATTTATGTAGAATAAATTGAAATACAGTCTTATATAGCACACAGCAGAAATAGAGTCAGTCATTTTCCAAACTTTTCATTATTTTTTTCATGGCTCCCTTGTGAAACCTGTCCCTATCATTCTCATGCATCAGTTTCTATTACCCTGATTTGGTTATTTTCTGTTTTTATTAAACTCTGTTTTTGAGAAAGTTTCACAACAATCAGACCCAGCTGTCAAAGCAAGCGCTGTTGTGTGTCACCTGACAACACTCTAATATACAACTATTCTAACATCTTCTGCTTCTTTGACCATGTCTGTGCATGGAGATGTTCATGGAGCTGTCCATAATGACTAATTGGTTTCAGCAGTGGTTAAAATTATTCGTTCCAGTGTGCATTACCTGGAAAGATGTCCAGAACAGATTTCATTTGCAGGTAGATCACTCAATTGGCCAGAGTAACTAAACCTGCTGGATGCGGTTCCTTTCTTTCTTTCTCAGTCTTCAGTAACCTACATAATTTTGTGTCAACCACATACTTCCTACCTCACAGTCTAGCTGTTTCCAGACCAGTAATAAATGCATTTAATAGAAACTACTCAAAGTAATGCTAAAATAACAAGTTCTGAACCTTTGTTGCTTCCTGCTTTTTTTCCATGACACCACCTTATTGTCCCATCTACACAGCAGCAGTTTGTGTGATCTGTGGTATTTTCAGTGGTTTTTTTTGTTTTTTTTTTTTTTGGAGATCCTTCCTTTTTTATTCTTGACCAAGAGTAGAGTTGAGAAAGATGCTGGGTTCTGTGGCTTATATTTTCAATTAAAGTTTCAAAACTTTTATTTTTCTATCATCAATGAACTTAATTTGAAAGAAGTATTTATGGACTACATTACCATAAATTTCCTGATCAATGATATATGCCAGCTATTTCAGAGTAAGGGTTTTTTTAATCTTTTTGAAATTGCATTAGTCTACTTAAGTTTATTACAAGCAAATTTTATGAAGGGTAATGCAATTCCTTTCAGAAGAGATTTAGTAGCCAAAATGTCTTACATGAAATTAAAATATCAGTTATTCATTATCATCAGAAGTTCTGTATGAAATTTCCATTTACTTAATCAAAATCCTAAAACATTTGCACTCATTTTCCATAATGAATAATGTACTAGGAACAGGAATAATGAAATATGCACTTAGCAGCCATATAGAAAAAATACTACCAACTGGATGTGTTGTTTAGTGACACTACAAATATAACTTCATATTTATACTGATTCTGATTTCTAGCACCCTTTTTTTTTTAAAAAAAAAATCCTCAGAAGGACATATCAGGAGGTCACGCATTTGTCTGTCCAGTGTTAACTTCCTATGTGACTTTGGATAAACATAATTTTTAATTGCTCTGGTACATTTACAGGTAGTTGGGGCTGACTTCAGAGAGCCTGTTAAAAATGGTGTAGCTAGGATTTAGGCACTCACCTTCAAAACTTCAATACACATTTCCCTACTGAGAGATTCCCTAAGCCTGAGCAACGTGCCTGAGCCCTATTTATCACCAAAGCTACCTAAAAGTGTCAGTTTTGCATCACGCCCAACCTGCAGGGGAGGACAGCAGGTAGATGCTGGCTCCTCCCCTAGCCCTGCAGAGGGCTGGAGAGTGCTGCTGAAATCCTGCAAGGGGCCGGCCTGGTAGGTGGTGCAAGTAGGCACATCTAGGGTGCTCTGACAGGCAGAGTTCCTCAGCACACCTGGTGGCAGAAGATTCAGACTTATAATAATGCTGCTGAAGAACAGGCATCACTTGTGGCTGCATCTTTGTTTTCCACAGTAATTGAATGAGCAACCCGGTTAACCAAGGAATGAGTTTAGGGCCCTTCTCAGCTAAAGGGGGTCCAACCATTACTTTCTCATGTGACCACTTTTCACAATGGGTATTCTTTCACATACCTCACTGGACACAACTTCAGATGCAGTATTTCTCAAACCTTTCAGAAGTATTTCCTCCTCTGAACTTACATATCTTAAACTATGAAATAATTCTTTGAGCCCCTTTATAGTGAGAGGAAGATAGCAACCTGCCACACAGGCTCAATGTCCACGTGGGTAGTAAGTTTGCTGTGATAAATGAGGAACCCAGGCAATCCATCCTTAGCTTTTGAGGGCTAATATTAGTATAGCTAATTTCTGTTCTCCTGTCCTGGCAGAACATGGATTTCTATCAACGCAGATTGATCTTGTTGGTTACCACTAAATTATGTACTTGCAATCCTCTGAACGTGCCAAAAGATATTAAACGTAAAATTAATTGTATAGCATGTGTGGTGTACTTTCTATATAAGCAGCTGATGTACGTTAAAAAATGTGAATGTGATCAGAAGGGATTAATACATTTTAACTATTTGCTAAAACAGTTCTTCATCAATGTACAGGTGTCCATTTGAGATGTTGAGGCCGTGATGATCACAAAAAAGCAAGTCAAAAATCAAATGCATTGTTGTTGTTTATTCAGATGAGTGAAGCAGAGGTTAATGGGCAATTTGAATCGGTGTGTGAATCAGTGTTTAGTGAAGTTGAAGCTCAGGCAATGGATGCCCTTGACCTCCCTGGATGTTTCCGAACAAGAAGCCACAGTTACTTGCGTGCCATTCAGGCAGGCTATTCCCAAGATGATGAATGTATACCTGCGATGGCATCTTCCAACATCACCTCAACTATTAGGTCAACCACAGGTAAGCAAATCTACACTGACCCTTCCACTATGCTGCATGTAAAAATACGTCACCTTGTTTGTAAAAGGATGTTTGACCCTGGAAACAATTTCCTTGTGTTGTATACTATTTAATATCAGTATTTTTAGGTTTACTTCTGAGGCTACAGCTTGGAATAAGCTCCTTATGAGGAGAGTCCTGCAAGCATAATATAATAGACTTGGACTTTTGGCCTCCATTTCCTATACTTACAGTTATCCAGGTGGAAATATAAAAATACAAGTGCAGATGGTATCATTTAGGTATTGTTAGTCATTTAGGTATTTTTTCCTATCAAGTAATTGATCTTCTAAATGAGAACAGTTGCACCGATTTTAATTTAAAGTACTTTAAAGTACCAAAAGAAAAAGAGAAGCAAGATTTTAAATATTTGGTCTAAACACATACAGGCAATTAACTTAGCAGGGAATTAGTTACTTAAGTTTAGAAAAGGTGTAACCAGTTGTATCAATACACCGAATCATAAATATTAGGGCAAGCTTCACAGGTCTGCTCTTACTCATCAGGAGCCATTAGCATTCATTGTTACACCATTCACTTTTAGAATCTGCTAACACTCTCCTGGCAACTTTCTTTTCTCTTATTTGTTGCTTAGCAAAGATGATAGCTTTATTCATTTTAGAATATTACTGTTTAGTATTGGTAGAGAAAAGATTGCACATACAGTAGTTAAATAATTAAAATGAAATCTGTAACAAGTACATATTCTTTGTTAAGGGATTCAAATTCACTTTTATGTTTCCAAGTATGTTAATGTCCATTCCTAATTATGATATTGTCCTTGACACACACTATTAAATTGCAGTGCAGGCTGCCCATCTACAAAAGGTAAATGTAGAATTCAAAATGAATCATGCAAAAATACTCTTAAGATTATTTACTTGACACATCTGTTGTGTAACAGAACAGTGGGAGCTTAGAAAGGAAGTGAGCTGACGTTGAATAACATAAATTTGCATTCCAGAAGCAGCATAAAATGTTATGTTATCTTGAGCATAGTATTTTAATTGCTATATATAGCTTTGTGAAAATGCAGAAGTTGTGCCTTACAGTGCCACCTCTAGGGATGTTTCTGTTCTTTGTTTAATGGAGTTGTTATCTTGATATAAAATGAGATTTTATCGATACCCCAGAGACTAATTTTCATCTTTGTCATATAATACTGTATGATTATTATGAAGAAACCCTCCATAGCAAAAAACACAACTAAATATCTATTTTGGTGTCCAACTCCAGGTACTGAATTGGAATACTTTCAGAATTACTTTATTTACTAAGCTGATTGGTTTTAAACTAAGCTGTCTTGAGATTATATGCTGGATAAGCCAAAAATTCTCAGTGAAAAGAATTTATTTTATATTCTCTGGACCAACAAACCTGAATAATAGAATATGTTTGGGGAAAATAAACAGATTAGGCAGTAAGTATGTTTACATCCCAGTGTTTTCATACTTATGAAAAATGCTTTGCATCGATTAGCAGTCTGCTTGTTAAATACTGTGCTTTTGAAAACTTTAACCTTTGTTTTACACATGACTTCTCCCTCATCTCAGAAACCATTTATCAGATGGATTTTTCATGCCCAAAAATGTAATCTTTATGCTTTATTGTGTTGAGGTAATATTGACACTGTGGACAAAAAAAACTTATTGGATATGTCTTCCTGAACCAAAACTGTTTCGAAGGCTATGGACACTATATGGGTCTGAGAGTGGCTCTGTATTCAAAATGTTATTTCTGCACCACTGAGCAAGTTTGTCCTCAGCTTCTATGTAAGATATTTAAAGAAGAAATATTTATCTTATTTATAAGAACATTAAGGATTCTCTTATTCATTACTTGAAAATTTCAGTTGCCAAATAAGTCCTCATTTTTAAAACCCCAGGGGCAACTCTACCATATTTCTCCCTTCAGCACCTGTTACTTTAGAGGGAGACACTTCATTTCCTATCATTACTATAATTAAAAAAAGAAAAAAAAAAAAAAAGAACTTTACTTCTCCAGCCCTCTCTGAAAATTGTAAAAGAAGCAGTTGCCTGAGATGTGAAAATGGTGTTGGCAGATACTTGACATTTATACAGGCTTCATTCTAATAAATGTCAAAAAGGTCAAAGTTTCACATCAGCCTTCAGTTCCAATTCAGTTTTTTGAATTCTTAGGAAAATTACATTACATCAATTCCTTTTTTGCTTCTGATGTAATAGATTCCTCTTGGCAAAGAAACTAAAGCAATTTCTTCAAAAATTAACAGGCATTACAATTTAAGTACTACTTGAAATTTTAGTGATATAGGTCATGACTGCCTCATCGATGCTGTAAAGCAATTAAATCATAACACACAGGCTTAGCTAAAAGTCAGTTCATGTAACTAAAAATGTAAATCTGAAATAGAAAATGTAGTATTTGATCTATGAATTCAATTACAAAAGTATGGAATATATCTTTATTCATATATAAACAGCATGCAGTATCCTAAAATGTTCCGAGATGCATTAACAGCTTTTGGAAGGCAGGAATGTTGCAACTATAATGAATATTATGTGGGACATTATTAATGGACTCTGTTAACAGGGCTTTCGAATAGATGGAAAAAAACTACCAATAATTATCTCTTCTTAAATGTATACAAATTTACAGAGAAGGACTGATGGTTCATGGGTAATATCTGTGGTAGCAGTGAACACACAGCTTTTGCACAGACCTATGTATTTTAATTACTTGTGGAACTAGGCTTCTCCACTGGTAATGGAGACTGTGTGGCAGGACACAAGGCACTACTTGCTGTGCCAGGTGTAAATGAAAGAGGCAAGTGACAATGCAGAGGACACGGCCAGTGTTGCTGTCACACTGTAAGCTAGACCTGAACTCTGTGCAAGCCCTGCTAAGACTCATATTTCATTGTGGTTAGGGCATTTCTAGCCATCCTGTTTCATTTTGTAAAGAGATAATGAACCCAGTAAAAAATACTTCATGTTAAAAGCCCTGAGTGACAGCATATGCTTTCTGTCTCTGAACTGTATCCAGTTGCATCTGTCAGATACACAGCTGAGAAAATACAGCTCCAGCTGCTGCTGCCTCCCACCTTGTCCCTCCATCACAGACAACATGTAATTTCCTGAATGAGAAGTCACAGAGTGCAGTAGTCATCCTAACTACTACTGTCTTACATCATCTTACATTGTCTTATATTGCTCTTGCAAGCAATGCTTCAATTTTCAGGAAGAGTTCATAAAATCTGGGTTGCTTTTCCACATAGTACCAGCTTGGTTCCCTATTGTCTCAGTATATCTGCATGTGTATACGCTATGATGTCAGCTTGGAAGGCTCCTTCCCAGTAACATCTGGGTAGTGTAGCAGAGTGCTGTGGGGAGGTGAGAAAGCTCCCTGAGGTATCAGAGCTGTGTCACCAGCAGCTCAGTTCACAGTGAGCCCGGGCTGTATGGTCCTGTTGGGAAATACACAACCGTATTTGTATTGTTGTGTATTCAAGGTATCACTGTGGGCAGTGCCACAGTGATACCTTGTCCCACCTGCAACACCGAGGTTCTCTTACTGAAAGAAATTTTTTCTTGTTGATGTTGTTTAGCGTTAGCATGAATGCAGAAATACTGGATTGCAAACATACTGAAGGTAGCAGTTAGGATGATCTGTTGTGAAAAAGAAGGACATGTTAAACTACATTTTCTGAGACAGGGAATAATTTGGTATTTATTTGCACCTTTGGCCATCCAGGTGTAGCAGAAGCGTTCACAAAACAGCCAGCAGCAGCTCTCCAAAAATGGGGATTTATTGCAACTGAAGTTGCCCAGCACTCCTTCTGACAAAAATTAAATTATAAATTCAGATGTCTGTTGTGAATATAATGACTACACAACTAATTCCTAAACTCTAAGAAGAGATAAAGCAAAGTGTGTGCACACTCACTCACTCATAAAGGGAAAACCTCCCACACAGGGTATCCAAAGGCATCACTCACCCAAAAGGAGGGTGAGGCTCACCCAATCCACAGAGAATCAGTCTGTGGAAGTATCCTTGGATGGTGTATCCAAGGGGAGGGTCCAACTGCCAAGGTCTTTTGCTCTGCAAAGAACCAACTCTGGTGGTTCTTTGGTGGGGCTCCATTTACACCCTAGTCAAGGGTGCACTGTGGTCATTCTAATTGCTTGGGGGCAAGCCCAGACAAAAACAGACTAAGGGTCTAGATCCTGGCGTGTCGGTTAATCACTGTGAGGTGCAGTTTAATGGCTGTGAAGCACCAAACCCCTCTGGCAACCTTGGTTTTGTCACCTTTCTGCGGAGGAGGTGGCACCTGCCACAGCAGGATAACCTGAACACCAGGTTGTTATCTGTTCAAATGGGGGGGGCACGCTCCATTTGTCCTGACAGTATTATTAAACATTATATAAACCACTTTCACCTTTATCAAGAGAGAAATTGCCACTCTAGTCCACTGCTCGAGACACTCACCCATCAGGTGGGATATCTGTTCAGTGAACATGGCTTTTATATACAGATTAAAACAGCTAAAGCAGACAAGACTAAATATCCTGTAAGGAGGATCTGAAACACTCCAGTCAGAGGTACAAAATCCTCCTCCTGCAACAAGCACTCACTGCGTGGTCTCAGTTCAGTTCTTCAGCTTTTAGGCTAATAAATAAAAGGGAGCATCATTTTGTTTCTTAAAAGTACTTCACCTTTTCCTCTAACCCTTTTTTTTTTTTTTTTTTTTGGCTACAACTGTATTTTTTGATGAATGGATTAATGACAAGAAAAAATCCACCTAGCTATGAACGTCAGCACAATGGAGATAGGGTCATGGTACATAAAGACATCCTGAATTTCTGCCCTGTGTGAAGTGTCAGTCCAAGATCACTTCTGCTTCAGAGATTTCCTGCCAATCTTATGAGAAACTTAGCATGAAGCACTGCTGATTTCAGGAGATATAGGTACTAGCCTTAAGT